CTCTGAAGATGCCGGTCACAGGTGCTGGCGAAACGAAACGTTAGGAAACAAAACTTCCAGAACACGGCCACACAGCCCGGAAGACCCACACCAGTCATCGTATTCTGGCCGTGAAAACCTTCGACAAATCCAGGGAATGATTGATCAAAGCTGTTCTGGTCATATAAACACACCCATCTAAAACGGGGGAGGGTAGTGCAAAAAGATGTATTACACACAATGGCTCTGTGTTGGCTTTAGCAGAGTTAGTGTTAAAATCAGCATGTTTAAATCATGGGTTAGGATGAGATAAGGCTAGTATCATGTGATGAAGGGAGAAGATTAAGATTAGAAGGGTCAGAACATTCTAATGCTAATTATATAACTGTTAGCAGGATGGAGACTAAGAGTCTTTTCTGGAGGGTGGGGTGAAGGCTCACACTTAACCTTACCTGCCCCCAGTCCATTAGCTTGAAGGTTTCTACTGTTCAAATATCCTAGTCCATTTCCATTGCCTGCACAGGAGGGAGAAGTAAAAGATGGAAAGAGGAAAATATGCAACATAAAAAAACCACATCAAATGCCTGTCACTATCTTCTCCTCACTCTGTAAATTTTGATCCTTAGAATGCGATCTAAGAAGCACTGTTGATCAGTACTTGCCAATAATGACCTTCTGCCATCTATAAAAGAACCTGTGTTTTAAATCTAAAATAGGAACATGGAAAATCCAGGGGAAGTATATTTCAGTCTCCCAGGATACTCTGCTGGCAATCTGAGAGCTATTATTCAACTGCATCCTGTTCAGGCAATATGTTTCCATGTACAATACAACACTTAATGAGTGGTGAACAAACCGTCCTCTCTGAATGGTCTGGTCGTGCTGTCAACAACAGCTAGTCATCTAAGAGTAAAACAGGATGGTCTGCTGAGGGAAACCTTTATGTAGATACGAAGGTATACTGGTGTGTGTGTAAATATATATATATATATTTTAACATTTCTGGCCTTCAAGAGCTGCAATGGGGGTGGGGGTGGAGAATGGCAATGATGCAATGACTGGTAAAATTTGCAGCCCTTTTGGGTGGGAGAGTTTATTTCTTTTAACAGAAAATGGGCACATTAAGCTTAACACAATCATTTCGCTATTTAAATTGTTTGATCTAGTGGTTAAAGGCACCAGGCTAGAAACCAGGAGACTATGAGTTCTAGTCCTGCCTTAGGTATGAAAGCTGGCTGGGTGACTTTGGGCCGATCACTCTCTCTCAGCCCAACTCACCTCGCAGAGTGGTTGTTGTGGGGAAAATGGAAGAAGGAAGGTGTATGTTCGCTGCCTTGAGTTATTAGAATAATAAAGGCAGGATAAAAAAAAACGTGAATTGTATTTTAACAAAGGTGATGTCAAAAGTTGCCAATTTGCTGCTAAATTTGGACATCCAATGCTTGGGGTTGATACCTTCTATCAGCTAGGGGTTCATCCCTGGCTTAATAAACTCAACCTCTTTGGTTTGCAAATCAGGATTTATAGCAGTGTGGTGTGTCAACTTAGGTGATTGCAGTTTATTCAAGAAACCATAATTAAACCATGTCTTAGTACAATAAAAACCCAGTCAATGGATCATTAAAGGCAGAATAGTCTCTCTGGACTTGTTTTAATAGGCTAACCTAACAACTCCTCAGAAATTTGAGGAAGTTGCCCTGGGATAAGGAAGGAAGGGAGGGATGAAGGGAGGGAGGGAGGAGCAGAGAGAAAGAAGGGAAGGGAAGGGAAGGGAAGGGAAGGGAAGGGAAGGGAAGGGAAGGGAGGGGAAGGAAAGGAAAGGAAGGGAAGGGAAGGAAAGGAAAGGAAGGGAAGGGAAGGAAAGGAAAGGAAGGGAAGGGAAGGAAAGGAAAGGAAGGGAAGGGAAGGAAAGGAAAGGAAGGGAAGGGAAGGAAAGGAAAGGAAGGGAAGGGAAGGAAAGGAAAGGAAGGGAAGGGAAGGAAAGGAAAGGAAGGGAAGGGAAGGAAAGGAAAGGAAGGGAAGGGAAGGAAAGGAAAGGAAGGGAAGGGAAGGAAAGGAAAGGAAGGGAAGGGAAGGAAAGGAAAGGAAAGGAAAGGAAAGGAAAGGAAAGGAAAGGAAAGGAAAGGAAGATGCAGGAGTAAAATTGGTGCTCCTTTATTACCTCAATCATGTGCTAAGTGTTTTCCATTTACCTACAACTTGGCCACCCAGACTTTGGGATTCTCAGGAAGACATGAATAATTACTTTTGCTTTTTTGAGATGAACTATTGCTCAATTCCTATTTCCATCCCAACTTCTGGGAGATTCAATTTCTTACCATCCAGCCCTATTGCCTGGGCAGGCTGGGATTCATATCCTACTTGTGGCCCACCTGGGTGAAAGAGACCAAAAGCAGGAAGGTGAATTTTAAAATCAACAGATACAACAGTTTTCATATCTTGTAGGACTCTCCAAGCTGTAATCTAAGGATTTTGAGGCTGGTGTCAGATCCACAAGGTCCTTGCAACACAGCAGATTGGCCTGCTATATTATCTTCCTACTTATTGGGAAGATGAGCTTCTTTCTTCCCAAGCCCATACTGGCAATCAGTAATCATACCACCTAATCCTGGAGTGAGCAAGTTGAAGGAGACAGGGGCTGCAACATGGCCTCTGCACTTTCCAGGGGACTATAGGGAGCCATCTGGTGAAGTCACCAGAAGGGCTGTTCTTTTTTTGTTATTTTTTCCCTGTTTTTTAAAGGAGCAGGTGAGAGAAGGAGCCTCTGAGAGGCAAATTACTCCTATTTTTATCCTTAAAATCCACCCAAACAGTTTCTAATTGTCATCTGGAGGCTCATTTCATGTGTTTTGGAGGAATTTAAGGAGTAGTTTGCCTTCTAGAACCTTCTGCTTCCATTCCCTTATTTAATTTTGGAAAATAAGAAAAAAAGAAGTGCTGGGGGGCAAGTGCTGGGGGTGGGGTGACATGAGGCCCTAACCACTCTTGTACTAATCAATTTTACTGGTAAAAAAAGAAAGCTGCAGTGTCCCACCATGCCAAATTGAAAGCAACTAGACCAGAAGTTGGTTCAGGTCTCTATCTGAAACAAAATGAAAACCAAGGGCAGGAGATCCATGAAAGATAATCTAGAACTCAGGAAAAAAATCACGAAACAACTAGAGGAGTGTAGGAAAAAAATTCCATAATAGTCTTACCAAATGGTCCTGGTTTACCTTCCACTCCAAGACCAGCAGGTTGAACACCATATGGCAGCTGGCTAGGTTCTCCTAGAAGAAAGAAAATTTTAGCTCCAGTGTGCAAGAGATATGGTTTACAAAAATGAATGTCCTACCTGAGTCTACTCCTGAACTTCAGTCTAGCTTTCCAAGAAGACAACTGGCTACCCCTGAAAGCTGCCCCTCTTTAATGCCCCTTCTAGGAATACCACTCTATTGTTTTCTTTAACCAGAAGAGGAATTCAGTTGGTATAACCCTTTTCCTCCTTACGTATTGGACTTCCTTCCAATACTGATGATGAAAAATATAATTCTACTTGCATGTATGACCTATTTGGAATGATCGTTTCAGTTCTTAGAAGCATTGTCTAGTGGGGGAAAATATCTCTACCTACAAATTTCCTAATCTGTTTACAGGTATAGCAACTTTCTAACAAGTCTAAACATTGGGATTCTTTAAAAGCTACCTTGAGTTAGTTAGCATTAGATTTAAATTTATGCTATATTTCTGCTCTTAAGCAGTGTATAAACAACCCCATCACAAATCATTCTGCTCTACAACACACCATATCTGCCAGCACCATAATCTCCCAAACCAGTAGCTTCTGGTTGCTGTGGTTGCCCTCTGTACGGAAGTTGCCCAGCCCCTGTAACAGAGATGGCAGTCAGAAAATTAACTGGAACAGAGAGAATCCCTTCCCTCTGTAGCCACCCACACATCCCACATCTTGAGACAAATCTGCAAGCTCTCCCACAACCTTGAATTTCAAGTAAATGGAACAGGCATTCCCTCACTCCAGGGATCTGAAGCTCTAGGACAGCTTTCCCCAATGTGGTACTTGGATAATAGATTACAACTTCTATCATCCACAGCCACTTTCTGTCCAATACCTTTGAAGGATACTACTCTAGAGAAAGAAGCTTGAGGAGATCTGTGGTTCTTCCATAAGAATTTCTCATTGCCTTCCTCAAATGACATCATTTTTTTTGGAGGAAGCCATGACAGAAGGTGCTCAAAGCTTGTTAAGCACTTAGCAAAGTCCACTCAGCTAACTTCAAACTGTACAAAGATTTGTTGGGTTGCCAATGCCTGGCAGAGGAATGCTGCTCTTCATTCTATAACAGCTTGAAGACTTACCTCCATATTTGGTGGTGGCTGCGGCAGCAGCAGCAGCGGCAGCAGCAGCCCCAGCTGGGCCCCCTAGCTGACTGCCATATGGAATCTGGGCACCTGCAAATGAAACAAACCAAAAGACTGTGTTCACATGACACATTTAATCCATCAACATAACTATGGTTTGCTCAATTAACCTAATTTCCTGGGTTTGCATAACACGCTGGACTTTAAACAAGCCGTATGGGCTGAATTGGCACAAAAAGTGAGGCTAAAATGTGGTTAGCAACTTTCTGCAAACGCAGCCTGCACTTCAGCATTCCTACCCCACAGATTCAAGACCTGTTGTGATTAATGTCTTACAAAGTAAGCATCTTTCCTGAAATCTACTTTCTCCAAACTGATAGTTCATTCCCCAGATCCACAGCTGTAAATGGAAGGGGAGGCTGGGAACACTAGCTGCAAGAGTGGAAGATCCGGAATAAGGCCTTCTGCATTTTAAAGCAAATATATCTATAGGGAAGGAGGCTTGTTTCAGCCTGAGGCCATAATAGTGATAAGGATGCCTTTGATGCTAAAAATTCAAATAAATAATAAAATAATAATTTATGTCATTTTCTGATCCAAATTTCTCCTTTTGGAGCTACACATTGCCTCACAAGATAAATAGGAGCTATACAGTACTGGGATAATTTCAGACAAGAAATTGGTATGATAAAAAATGGCAAGAAAAGCCTAATCCCATGATAGCCCTGATCAAAATTCACAGACAGACTGACTGGGTTTGCACAGCATCTTAAGCCATAGTCTAGTTGATTTGGAGGTAATTGCAATATACATAAACTCAGCTAGTGTAGTTTGCACACCGTGGTTATGGCTTAGCATGAGGTAAAAGCCACAGACGTTTGCAATCAGTGGTTTATGGCTTAGCACAATGTGGCTTCAAGAAACCATGATTGAAAGGAATCGTGGCTTAGCACAATGTGTGAAATCTACATGTTTGCTCTTCAAAAATGCTGATCCATCTAATTATGAATCTCACTGGAACAGAGGAAGCATTGCAGTTCAGTAGCCATCTTTTTAAGCCAAATGTTAGATATTCCTGCCTTGGCAACTTGTGCCTTCTAGATGGGCTGGGACTACAATTGCCAGAATTCCAAGAAAACATGGGAAACTGATCTGCTACTTGATGCTTTTAATTAGCAGTATGGGATTCCAGCCATGAGCTATCCCCATACTCAAAAGAGCATTTCAATTGCCATGAACCTTGAACTTCACTGAAGGGAGATAGGACGTTGTCTGGGTCTCATGTAAATTGCCTTGCACCTTAAACTAATGTTCCTGACACTTTCATCTGCTCAAATGACTTGCTCCCTGTCACACTTTCTTAGCTGAAGCACACAATAGCCAAAATAAGCTCTCACACTGAGCTAGAGATCCATGGTTGATAACAAATTTTGTACCCCGTTTCTTTCTTACTCTTCGGCTTCTCCCATACCATCTCAGTTCCAAGTGAATTTGCCCATCACTACCAATATGATGCAGTGGCAGCGGCGGCTGCTGAATTTGAACATGAACAACCAATGTTCAAATATGGCCTTTGTCATCAAGTTCATCGGAAGGCTTAAGCATATTGCCATCCTTTTAGCCACCCCCACTCCCCCTTTACCAGTTGTTCCGTTAAAATGGCTCTCTAAACTCTTTGGAGGAAAGGAGAAAAACAAATGTGAGAAATTAATACCACCCATCCCTATTTCCACCTGGCTGAGCTCCAGCAAGAGGAAATCCATTGCCTCCAGCTCCATAGCCTGAAAAAGAAAAAGAAAATGTGATTTTCCTAGCTTCAAACCATCAATCTTGAATTATCTACTGTCTTATTCTAAAGCCGATGAATTCAGCTAAAAAGACAGCACTTATTTCCTAATATATTGGTCAACAGCTCCGCATTCTGGACATACCTATGTATTACAGCAAGTGGTGTGTAACAATATTTTCTGGCTGCTTCATATATACAGCTGTCTGTGCTTCTGAATTAGTGATGCCACGGAAAACCATGAACAATTTGCATGTAATAAATAATGCAACCATGATTTGGACCTGCTTTGTGAAAATCCTGTGTATCAGGCATCCCAAAATGAGATGGCAGAAATGGGAACAAAGAAGAAAATGAAGGGGCAATCTGTACGTAACAGTGCAGCCAAAAGAAGCTGCTTTCTACCCAGTTTATTGACCCACTAGCTCAGTACTGGTCACTCTGACCTGCCTACCAAAATGTTCCTTGACTAGCAGATGGCAAGTGCTGAATTTCTGTACATTAGCAATAGGGTATTGTTAGTACAACTCTGTGAAAAGGCCTACTTGCATGATACTTACAGGTGTCGCCTGTGTGAGAACACGTGTAGCTTTCTTACCATTGCCATATCCATTCTGCAGTCCATTGCTTGGGTAGCTTCCGGCTCCACCACCACCCAAATATCCTATTGAAGAAAGTATAAAACCAAGACACAAACAGATGGACGCTCTTTTCCTCTTCTTCCTTATCTTTTGCTCGGCCCTCACAATAAAGCTCAGATAGCAGAGCTGACACGGAAAACTGGAAATTACTTCTGAACATGTGTAGAGTATCTTTCTTGTTCAAGTGAGGAGACATCGGGGACAGAGTCTCTAAGCTAGAGGACGTGTTTTAAAAAGAGAATTGGACCTATGTATTTCTCTTTGGAGAGATAAATGTTTAAGAAAACCGCCAGTGACTTTGTACCCACAGTTTTGCAGCTAGACCCCCTGTGGACTAATTCTTTCTTCTAGGTTATCAAGCTGCGTTCTACCTGGTGGGTAGCCGTCAGAAATGAGCCCTGTTTGTATCCTGCTCACAGTAATCAGAAGCTAAGACTGTTCTGAATGCTTCCCTTCATAATCTTCTCTGTTCCTTGCCTTGTCGCTGTTCTTCATTGCCCTGGCACCTATCCCTGAGAGCAATCCTTTGTTCCTTTCTTAACCCCTTGAGTCCTGCAACAGCAATGTCTCACACTGTATGCTAGAGAGCCTAGTATATGTAATTTCCCATGACTCCCATGTCCTTATGACATCAGGTATCTGATGAGCAAGGATACATCAGCATTCCAAGCACAAGAGCACTGCAATATGGTTTTCCCTGTGGTTGATACTATATTGCTCAAGATCCAAAGAAACGGGGACACTGCTGTTTCAGTACTCAAGGTGCCAGGAAGCAAAAGTGTTGAGAATGCTATTAATAAAATATATGTGACATAGGCAATTCCATCTGGTCTAAAGATGACAATTTTTTAAATTTCAAAATTCCATCCTCCTGAGCAAGATCATAGGGTGAAGTTTCTGATCACACATTTAAATATCTTATGTGACATTTAAAGATGTTATTTACTTGTTCATTGTGTTCATGTTTGTAAAATTCATGTTTATGAGTAGGGGGAAGGAAATGTCAAAGAGGAGAATCTCTGTGGAGATACATGACACAGAAGAAAAAAAATGGCCTTGGGAAAATCTCTGCAGGGATGCAGCAAAAATAAAAATTAGAAAAGGAGAGTCAGCTTGCAAAAAAGTGTCTTAGACAAGAGCAAGAGGATATTATAAAATGAAGGGCTCAAATATAGCAGATCAATGTCCTAAACTAGGAAGAAGAGCTTACTTACACAATTGTGGTCCCTGGGTAATTCTCTGTGAATTCCTGCAGATCGGTTCTGCATCTCCACTGTAGCCTATTCAGAATTTTCCCAGAGCCTAGCGTTTGTTTGAAGCCTTATCTTCTTTTGCCATGCACAGCTTATAATGGTAGGGTTCCCACCACTCCCTCACTTCCAAAGACAGACACAATGCCTCAGAGATGAAGTGTGTTATTTCTGGACTCACATGACAAGGACAGGTTGGTCGTGTGAATTCATAGATGTCTCCTTGAAGAATCATAGTTACTGGTAAGTAACCAGTTCTTTTTCCTCATGGTCTTTGTGATTCAACATATAAAGGAGAGTCACAAGTTACCGTATGTGGAGATGGGCAAGAGATCAAAACAAGGATAACATTGCCTTGCCAAATCCGCATCTTATTGAGACCAAAGGCACAATCTGTAATGTCTGATGAACTGGAAAAGTGCAACCACATGGCAACCTACAAGATAAAAATATAACCCTGAGAAAAGGCGGCTGTTGAAGCTACAGTATGGCTATCATTGAATAGCTGTGGACTCTAATAGGATGTGGGTTTCCTGCCAAATCATAATGAAGTGTAATTGTTGCTGTGACCCACTGGCAAGATGTTGGGATGATATAGGAGTGCCTTTCCAAAATCCATAATTGCAGATCCTTCTTAAAGGAAACAATTCAGCAAAGAGAAAAATGCAGTGGCATGCTATCTATTTATCTCATTTGCTTGTCAAACTTATTTATTTATTTATTGCATTTATATCTGCTGAGAGTCTTGCAATTGCAGCAATGGATGGATGAAGGAATAAATGAATAAAAATAAACTGCATGTTGAACATGAAGTGCATATAAAGTCCATTGTAAGTGGCCTTTGGAGTTAGAAAAAGATAAGGAGGATCACCTCATAGAATAAATGAAAGTCAGAAACTGCAGCTGGCAGGAAACAGGACCTGAATAAAGGATGACTTTATCCTATGGAAAAGTAATAAAGCTCATCTCAACAACAGACACAGAGTTTGCTGGCACTTCTGGCTAATCTAATAAGCACTAAAAAGGCTGTCTTCCAAGAAGTAATAGAAGGGGCAGGTAGCTATGGGCTCCAAGGGTTTCAATCTGGACAGGACCAAGACTTACAAGTGAGTCATAACACTTCTCCAAAGGCTTGGCTCAGAGCCTATTTCTGGAGATGCTGTGAGCCAAGAACCCTGGTTATGATGGGCCTGCACAGACAAGATTTGACTATGAATCCAAAATAAACACAAGATAGAATTTTACTCCCACCAATTTGGCATTTCCTAAAAAAGAGTGCTAAAGACCATACAGGCTGAACAATGCCAAGCAATTTCCCTTGAAAGAAGTTTAAGATGATGCTGAGAGAAAGAGAGAAGAACAAAACCATAGATGCTACTTTTGTAGAGGTCAGAACAGAGGAGAATTGTGGGAAGAAAAAGCCCCAGCTTTACTGTAAAGATCCTGGTTTTTCAGGCTGAATGCTAAAAATGGCTCTGGAACATTCTGTATGGGTTCAACAGTATAGAACCCATATGTGAACTTGTGCTTGCTTTTAAGTAAAAGCAGAGAGCATCAGCTTGATCAATGTATGTAAGTATGTGAATTGCAGGGTTAGCCTAGCCCTTTTGTGTTGGAAGGAGCTAGAACCTTCAGGTGTCCCAAAAGAAATCCACTGGAGAAGCTGAGATACTATTACCTGCTTTGGAAGGCTTGCCTCTTGCTCCAAGACCTGTGGGATGACAGAGTGAGAAGTCAGACCTCTATATATTCTGCAGTGCTTTTGGATATACACATGTATATATACACATACGTTCCAAAGGGAGAAATTGAGACCATGATTTACATAAGAAAACACTTTAAAAAAAAGATCTGCCTCAATAAATAGAGATAATGGAATAATTAGGCTGACTTTGCATTTGTTTTAATTCAAGTTGATATATAAAGATAAATGTGAGAGATGCTTTTTCCAGCAGAATAGTTTGTACTTTGTACTTTGTTCTAATGTTATCATACATTATTCTGTAAAAATGTTCCATGTAATATCTGTATTTTGTAAGGTTTATGTATCTTTCTTTTTTCTTTCCTTTTTCTTTTAAAATAAATTAACTTTTTAAAAAAGAAGTGCTTCTTCAACGGAGAACAGGAGAAATAAAATGAAGAAGAAATAGATCCTTACCTCCCAAGTGGAGATCAGGACGGGGGTAACCAACACCTCTGTAACCTGGAAAGCAAAGATGCATCATGAGCTACATCCTAGTTCGAACATCACTTGTTTGTTTTTAAATTGGGATTTAAATTAAAAGTGGTTATATTTCATTTCTATGTGAACGACATACAAAGCATTTTTAAACAATCATGCCAAAGCAACTTTTCCTAATCTGATACCCTCCAGATATTTTTGTATGCTAGAGCATCATGAGAGCCCTGAGTTGAGAAAGTTATGCTTGCCCAACATAAAATATCTCAGATGACTTTCCAAATTCCTAGCCAGCAGCAGTCTGGGAAGTTTGTGCTAAGTGAAACAAGTTCCACAGCAATGCATACTATTTCAGAATCTTAAAAAAAAATGCTAGAAATTTGACATTAGAAGCATTTGCTTAAGACAACCTGTTTGGCTTAAATATTCAACAGCTGTCCCTCATAACATCAGGAAATAGTTCCTGATGTGTCTCTCTGCACTTAATCAAACATAGTTTTTGTTTACTAGTCTTCAGTAAACATCTAATACTGCAAGATGGTTTAAAAAGGGGATCTGTGAACTTCACCAAACACAAATCAGGTGGCTTGGTTCCCATATCTATAAAGATGGGCAGAGCTCTATGTCTAGGCCAAATCAAATCTTCTTCACGTCTCATCAGAAGTACTGCTATAATCAAATGTAATCAGTGAATTGTCCATGGCTGGTCTATCCTACCATTAAACAAACTGAGGCAGCTGACTCCAACTGCTGGCATGGAATATCATAAAACTTGAACAAATCCTTAATTTTGAAGAGAATTTTTTAAAAGGCCAACCATTTCTAATCTTTGTGCAGGCAAATATATTGTTATTTTCCTTGGTGTTTTCTTATTCATGTGTCAATACTCAAGACTTAGTTCTGCTGTCTGGTTTTTTTTAGATTCTGATCTTAAAAATGTTTTGTTCAGCCATCGGGAAAAAATACATATAAATTCTTAAAATGTATCTTCTACTATTAAGGGTCTAGAGAAGGCATCAGACAGATTGATCTTTCAACAGTCTTCTTTTTAATTTGCAGAGTCCAACTGATAACTTCCTCCTCTACCACCAGCCCTTGCTCCGGGTGGACCTGTTATCATGGCGATTCACTCTGCTTTGTCCAATTCACTTTCCTTTCCATCTGCTTTAACCCTTTTCTTTCCAATGGGTCATGTCAAGTCTGAAGGCACAGCCTTTCTAATTTTTGCACAGAAACCAGTCATTTGGAGCACAATAATTTGTAAGTAATAGTGCAAGAGGAGTTGGGCTTAATAAACTAATCCATTTTCCATCATTCATTTCTCCTACAGGAGAAACCCTCACTTGTTAACAGAGGGTGGAAAAATTACCCCCCCCCCATTTTGTGCTAAACCTGCCAACAACCAAAGGAATTTCTATGGGCCTTGCCCCACTTGCATTTAATTACAGCACAAACACACCCTGGGAAGATCTTTTTCCTACTGTGTCCTCATGCAACAAGCAAGACAGGCTTAAATGGTTCCAGTGTTAAAATAGCTCCCCCCCCCCTTTGGACAGTATCCAAGGACAGACTTAAGGTGTGTTAACTGGAAACAAAGCCAATCAAGGCAGGACTTGAATCAACAGTGGGGTAGCAAATTGTACACCAATGTAGTCCTCTGCTGACTCAAGGATGAGTGGAGAGAACTTCAACTCTGGTGAGAAAAGTTCCTAAATCTAGTCCTTATGCCTCGCCCTTCCCATGATGTTGAGAAATGCTGAGAAGGTTTTAAGTAGGGTTGCGCAGAATGTGCCATAACATCACATTGTGGCCTTGGCTGCTCTAGATGTTCCAAAAGTGATACAACATGGAATGTTCAGAATAGGCCTTTTTTAATGTAGGACTACTGTACTTGGAGAGCTCAGAATATCTATTTTGAAGATGGAACATTGCATGCATTGAAACTGAGCAAGAAAGGCCCATCGTACCGGTTCCATATCCAGCTGGGATTCTGTAACCTGTGAAGAGACAGAAAGAATCCGACAGAGAAGTATTAGATAGGAACATTAATCAATTCAGAAAAAAAAAATGGAAAAAGGGGATTGCTGAAAAGTCCTGAAATAATAGTTTTTTACATAGTGTGCCAACCTGTGACCTCAGGGCCACATGCTCCTCCAAGTCTGCTTCCCCAAGCATCTTCCTAAGTTAGTCACAGAAAGGGACAATTATTAAAAAAATAGGTAGTAATCTCCTAGCCCTGTCCCCTTTTTGGGCTGAAGCCACTGAAAAGGCAGAGGTGGTCCTCAGCTCCAGAGAGACTATACATCCCTGCTAAATACTCTTTTAAATCTTCTCATCACAAATATCTGGTTAAGAACCTGATTGCTAATGTCTTTCCAACCATTCTGGAGTAGGTATGCTCAGAGTTGGGTGCATTACACTGAGCAGAAGAAATCAACTGCTCTGTCTATATTGAATAGGCATCATAGTCCCTGATGCATATTTAGCAAAGAGACTGTCGGTGCAAGATTTTGTCCTGCCAGGTTGGAATCTGGCTGTCAACATGAGCATTGCCTACCTGGCTTCCCTGGTTTGCCCCCAAAGCCTCGTGGAGCCCCAAATCCATTTTGAACTCCTGCAAGGATAGAAACAAGGAAAGCTAAAATTTGGGGATGGGATGACTACAGGCAGACTTAAGGTGTTTTTCCCTCAAACCATAAATTTTGCTTAGTATTGACAAGGAAAAGGAGTCCAAATCTTGCATCAATTCTTTCAGACTAGATTGGTTGTGATGTGTGCACAAGCAGAGAAACCAGAGAATCAGCCACCGTTACTGTGCTGGGCTAGAAATCCTACAAGGGTTGCTAATAAGATAAGAGTATTGATTGAGAGAAAGCATTTATAAGCCCCTCTTTAACTGGTGGAAGAGTGGCATGAAAAAATGGAACAATTACTTTAAAATCAAGAGGTCCACATTTGTGAACTCCTTAGTAGGCGTGTGCAAAGTCTTCTGTCTTAGAACGTTTGAAGATTGGAATGGGCTGCTCTGAGTGGTCTGTAAGTGGCTTGAACTTGGTACAGACCATTCCAACCTAATCTGAGTGCTTCAAGCATTCTGGAAATGGTCCATCCCCAAACAGCCATTCTCAGGTTACTCAGAACCCTCAGAATGAATCAAAACGGAACATCCTAAGGTTCAGATTTTCTCACACCTCTGTGGTGCTAGGAATGCCTGGCTCTACAATTTGTGTAAATGAAGAAGCGGACTAGACTTACAGGCTTCTGCAGGGAGGGTCAAGATCTGCAAGGTGGAGGGTGCTGCATCACAATAGAAGCCCCTCCCCTTTTGTATACATGTATGTGGGTACAAAAGGGGCAGGGCTTCATGCATAACACCGCCATCTTGCAGATTAGACTATTGCTGACTACTCAACATCTGTGGAAGAACATCCTCTGAAAGCTTCATAACTAATACATAAACACCGCCCTGTAAATAACTAAAATGTATTCAAGCACATCTGGCAAATGTAGTCCTTTCCACCACCCTTTTTGCTTTCCGTCTGTATGGTGCTTATCACACAGGGAAGCATTCAAGGGTGACTCTGGGTTCTGCCAACTCCTTCCTCCTTCTCTGTGCCACCAGATGTAGGGGAACCTTCGGTCCTTTCAAGTTTTAAGAAGGCAAATACAAGTGTTTCTGTTTCAGTCAAACTCTAGCCCACAAATACAAAAAAAACACACACAAAGAAGCACAAAGCTGCTTAGATTTATTCTACTTATGTGGCTAAACTTACCTAGTCCTGCAGGCAGCCCTTGGGGCCCATAGGCAGAATATTTTCCTATGATTATAAAAGACAAAGATGGAAAATGTAAACAGAAGGATAATTACAGGTCAGTCTGTACTACAAATTATGACCCATATTGCTGTTGAACTGTTACCATATGCTAAATATAATATGGATCGGGGGAAAAACTGGGTTCACATGCCCCCTCATCTGTGAAACTCACTGGCTCTACGGACCAGTTAACAACTACTTCTCAGTTTAACTTAAAGGGCTGTTATGGCGATAATTTGGGAGAGTTCACCCTGCTTAATGCTTTTAGCTCCTTAATGGTAGGATAATATCAAATAAGAGAGCCAGTTTGATGCAGAGGTTAAAGACACTGAGCTAGAAACTGGGAGACCAAGAATTCTAGTCCTGCTTTACACACAAAACCAGCTGGGTGATCTTCTCTCAGCCCTAGGAAGAAGGCAAGGGCAAACCACTTCCAAAATCCTGCTAATAAAACTGCAGAGACTTGTCCTGGCCAGAAGCCAAGACTGGCTTGAAAAATAAAATAAACCAACAAAAGATTCTTTTATTCTCTCTGTTGATAATTCCCATAATCCCCATGCTGGCTAAGAATTCTGGGAGTTATATTCTAACCAGAATGAGAGAGAGAGAACATATGTGGTTAAAAGCTCATCATGCCATCACTGAAACCAAGGAGGTATTTGCCATGCCTCCTTCACATCTATGGCTTTTTTCATCTGGTAGGTGGACACATTTCAGAGCAACATAAAACCCCAAGTTGCAGTTACCTAATATTCCACTGACCTGATATAACAAGAGGCAAAATATCTTTGGTACTGCATCAAAGATATTGCATAATAACTGGTAACAGTGGGGGGTAATTATTTAATTTTATTCCTCTTTTGAAATAAAGTGAACCTCCTCCCCAACCTGTCATTGCTACCCAACTTACCAGCTTTGGCTCCAGTTGGCCCCAATCCAGCTCCTGGCTGTATGCCTCCTGCACCTGAAAGATAGGACACAAACAAGGAAAGCTGAAGTCAGGGACATCCATGGGGATGGGTCCAAAATGTCAGGATGGCAGCTGCAGCTCCATGACTGAAGCATCATATGCACAATGCATGTAAACAGGGAGGGGGCTTCAAGCATGCTGTCATAGCCACTCTGTGGACTTTTTAAATCCATCCACAGACACCCATTCCTCCTTAGTTTAGTTTCAAAGTTCAACTGAGCTATAAAACAGGCTGGGGGAAATGAGTGAAATCCTTGAAACAGGAAGAAACAAACAGGGTAGGTTGGTTTCTCTAGATGATTACTTCTCCCGAGAGAACTATATGGTGCTATGAATGCATGGAAATTAACTCGATTTCCACGTATACAAATTTAAATCACTCACTGAAATAGGCTTTGAGAAAGAGGAATCGCGTCAATCAAGTAGCACCCCACTATATTTCTAAGAAGGCTGAGGGGAGGGAATGACACAAAATACTTACCTCTTATTAGAGATGGAAGGTAAACTCCTCCCTGGCCACTTACTTGAGGTTTCACTCCTAAAATAAGTCCAAAAGAATTAGGGAATGAGACTGGAGTCACACATTGGTTCATACGTCAAGTTAAGTCACAAGATTTAAACATGATTTGTTGACTAGCCCAGCTAGGTGATAGCATCTAGCCAGCCTTGGCTGTTCTAAGCAGCACAGAACCTGGTAGTACTTGGATGAGAGACCACCAAAAACATCAGGGCTGAAGCAGTAAATCTGAAAGGGAAAAAAAAATCACATAAGATGAGCCAGTTTGGTCTAGTGGTTAAGGCCCCAGGCTAGAAACCAGGAGATTGTGAGTTCTAGTCCTGGTTTAGGCATGAAAGCCGGCTGGGTGACTTTGGGCCAGTCCTTCTCTCTCAGCCCAGCTCACTTCACGGGGTTGTTGCGGGGAAAATAGGAGGAGGAAGGAGTATTAGGTATGATCACTGCCTTGAGTTATTATAAAAATAATAAAGGCAGGATTTTTTAAAAAATCTAAAAAAAAAAGTAGTGGGAAACTTTTTTATATACCTAGGAAAATTATATGGACACATCCACAAATCATCAGGGGTCAGGTTCTTTTTGCTACTGATGTTTTCTGAGCCATAATGCCTGGGTTCATACATACTTCTCAGTTCATGGTGGCTGGGTATTGCTTACAGTATCTCCTCTTACATCAAGAAATGTATACGCTCATCCTAGATACGGGTTTAGGTCCAGACAAAGATAAGTCAATGAACTATGAGCGAGGCTGGTTTAATCTGGCTTTCTTTATGTCCTGACTTCCAGTATGTCTTGTGGAGAGAGAATTTTGCAATACATCAGATGGTTGAATTAATCGTCATTATCATCCAACCCCACACAACATCCTGTCCTACCCTCAGGTCCTGAGCGCCTGCTCCCATTGTCCCAGACTGTGGACCTGCTCCCTGGAGGCGATGGAGCAGCAGGCCCACTGTGTATAGCACATGTATGCTTATCCTCAGCTGGGGCTGTATAATGCAGCACTTCAAGCTGCTATAACCCTTGGCTGTTTTTGTTGCTGAGAGAGCAGTTTTTCTGTCGCATCTGGTGGAAACCATCCATCGTTTTTTTGTGACAAGTCTGATGGGGTCAAGTCTGGGCCTTTCCACAAAGCTCCTTTCAGAGCCTGAGTCTCTGATGCCAAAGGATTATTTAATCGCTGTGGGGAGACATTTAGGACTTCTAATCCACCTAGAACTGCACTGGCTTCTGGCATAGAGAGTTGGCCAGCCTGCCTTTATGGCTCTGCGAGGGTGTGTCAGTGTCTCCCCCCCCGTCCCCTACTGAGGGCACTAAGCAGGCCTTTGTGTGCAGAAGGTGGACAAGAGTGCTAGAGGAATTTGGCATCTTTGTGCCAGACAGCTATGTGGCATAGGATGTAGTGTGCAAATTCCTATTCCTTTCCTATTCCCACCAGAGTGGTCCTTTGGGATAGATTGGAGGCACAGAAAGTTTGGTTGGGGAGTGGGAAATATGGAAGGCCAGCTGTGTTGAAACACTCTACTCCCATTGCTGGAGAAAAAAAATTCCAAGGTGCTTAGCTTATAGCCTTCTGTTCTCTCCACACTACAAGATTCTCCTCAGTAGCAACATATGGTTTTAACTAGCCTGCAATTGACAACAAATTCCTCAACCCTTCTTGTAATCATATGTGCAACTGTTAAATAATAATGATAGCTAATTTTTTCTAAGTACTGTTTACTGAGATAGTTTTTAAAAAATAAGACAGTCCCATCAGTCAGTTTTACAACCAAAAACACAGAATGCAAAATGGGGGAAAAAAGGAATGGGAAGGAGGTCAGAAAGTGAGCAGCTAAAAGTTACTAAAACTGCACACCTGATGTTTAATATAGAGTAGCGTTCCTGGTTCTTATTAGATCAGTCCAAAGGTTTATCTAGCCTAACTGGTGTTAAGGCCAATTGTCTAAGATACCTGCAGGAATATATAACCACCATGATTAGGAAATCTTGATCCCCTTATGTCCTATGAATCTGCCTCCTTTTAAAGTCATCTAAGAAGTTTCTAGACATCATCTGGGGGCAAAGCTATTTAACTAGCTCCTCTGTTAAGATGCACTTCTCCTTATCAGTCTTCTTGAGAATGCCAGTACATCACTTTCAGGGGAAGTATGGTGAACTGAAGATGTCTCTGCGAAATGGAGCCGATGACCATGGCAAAGGCCAAGGAACTGGTGAGTAGACCGGTTTCTTGGAACCTCTCCGGATAAGGAGAGGATGGGAGATCGTTCACAAGTGCTCCGGATGGCTGCTCCTCATGAAGGATTGGCCATCTTACTTACAACTGCAGCAGAGACTTTTAAAAGACACTAAATTCGCAAACCTCACTTTCTAATCACTTTCAAAAAATTGCCTATTAATCATCTTAAAGCTATTAGAGACCTTCAGAATGACAAATTTGAAAAGTCTTCATTGGGTGAGTTTATCTTCATCTCTGAACAAAGGAAAAATTAATTACAAGCTTAAGAACTTAAATAATTTGAAATAAAAAAATTAGAGAGAGAAGCTGAAATATAATTATATTTATAACTGCTGTGAAGAATATAGGAAGCTACTTCTTTATACCTTTATATCATTCTTCATATCTTTCCCTTTTTTTCCTACTTTCTTCTATTTTTTTTCTTATTGCACTTTTAGCTTTTTCTGTTATTTCTCTCTTTCTTTTTCATTTCTCTGTTCTAATTTAGTTTGTATTAGTTCTTATTATTTCTCTTAAAACGTATATATATTAAGGGTTAAGGGTCCAGATAAATTTGGAATATTGACTTTTACGATAAGATTTTGGAATTAACTACAAAAAATAAATAACTTCTCATGGGAAACAGATTTATTTTGGTTATCTTGGCCGTTGCAAGTCATAACAAAAGAGAAGTGATGATTTTAGAAACTAGACACTAGAGGTGTCTACAGATTTTAAGCACAAGAAAAAAAATACAAGCCTGTTTTTGATGTCGGTTAATACAGGGACTTACAAAATGACACAAAACATAATACTGGAAATATTAAAGATCTTTGAAGGATAGAGCCAGAAATTAGTCACTACAATATTAACACTGTCAGTAAAGATGTCTGCTCCTATGGATAGACTATGTCTAAAAGGTGTTAATGAAGGAATTGCAGATGTGGAACAAATTTTATCTGACAAGACAGAGAAAGTACAGAATGTGGAACTACAAATGTCAGGTCAAGAGAATAATTTGGAAAAGGACGCTTTATTGGATATACAAAAGAAATTGGCTGAAGTTTTAAAATTAAAAGGGAAATACAAATGATAAACTGAGAGAATGACCTGGAAAATGTTTTCTTATTGGATCGACAAAAGAGGCTTGCTAAAGCCTTGAAGAAATCTGTGCGATGGGATAAAGAAGAATTGAAGAGAAATCAAATTCTATGACAATATTTGATTGAATTAAAGATCAAAACAGTTAGAAGTAAAAGGAAGGAATATAAAGTTGTTTTATTTAATCAAGGTTAAAACGACATTTTTTGCAATGTCTTGCAAACCTTTATGGACTTTTTGCTGACACCAGGATTGAAAAGTTGATGTTTTATGGATTTGCTTAGAGATAAGGGATGGGATATGGGATGAAAATATATCTGTTTAACCTGCTAGGGGGTAAAGAATTATTAAATTTGTTTATACTTCTGATGAAGGTTGGAAGTCACTTCTTTATATATTTTTTTCTTTTTCTTTATTATATGCTTTCTTTTTCTTCTTTTTCTTTTTTCCTGCACTTTTTATTCCTTCTTTCCATTCTCTTTTCTTTCTCTAAGTTTAGTTTGTATTAGTTTTTACTATTGTAATTAAAATTCTTAATACAAATTATATTAAAAAAAGGGAATAAACACATACTTTAAAATGAAACAAAGTATTAAAATTAAATATGAAATGGCAAAAAAGAAAAAAAAAGAACGTCAGCACATCAAGCCTCCTATCCTCACCACAATCTACAATGTTGAATTTTGTAAGTTTGAGCTTAGGAACTGAAGCCCTCTTGATATTGTTGGACTTTAACTCCCATTGGCCAGAGTCTGGGAACAATAGGATTTGGAGGCCCTATGCTCTCTGCCATTCCTAAAAATCTTAGGTGTGATGTGAAGAAATGCTTTTTTTTAATCTGTCTGAAATCTCTTGCCATTCAGACTGAAGGCACATCCCTTGGTTCTCTAGAATGACAAAGCAGAGGACAAACTTGTAAGATACAAAAGCTGAGCAGTTGTAAGACGGGATGTTAATTGCTCCAGTATTGCACCTGCAAGATAAATGGAGTATAACAGCTTATCCAGATGTGCTGGCAATATAACTCCCAGAAATAGCAACACAGCTGGCTGTTGACCATACTTGCTGAATATTCTGGGCACTGTATTCCCAACATATTCAGAAAAAAGGTCTGCTGATTAAAATTGCTTTATTAGACTTTAATCTGCAGGCTAAAATTTTAAAAATTCTCTCAACAAGTCACCTTTGTTTTCCTTGACATTTGCATCCATTTACTCTTAATGTTAATTTGGCCTGATTTAGAGTGCTGAGAAACTAAAAAACAAAAAACAAAAAAACCCTTTATTTAACTGGTGTTAACAAAATTGTTATCATAATGTTACTTTTGGATTTTCTTTCTTTTTCGAATAGGTAACAAAAGCATCTGCCGTTTTGGTTCACTGTCATTTACAGCCAATGAAAATAGGGCTCTTGTTTCTTTTTAGGCAGCCCCGAAACCTTTTTGGACATACGGTTTTATTATGAATGGTGGGCAAGGAAGGAACAAGAGCTGAAAACAGTGTATTACATTCAAATGATAAATGTATTTACAAAAGAAAAAGTATTCACCAAAGAAAAAAGGGGGGGAGGGAAACCTTCAGTCAGTCAGCCAGTCAAGCAAGCAATCTCTCTCTCTCTCTTCGTATATTAGAACGAAACTTAATGTATTTTGGACTTTGTCCTTCTTCAAAACCTTTTACTTTATTCAGGCTACTCTTTTAGGAAAAGCACCTATATAGTCTGTACCTACTTTCCTTGTGAGAGACTTTATAAAAGTAAGAGTGTTTGAAAAGCCTTGTTAGAAACACGCTGAGCTTCATCTTAAAATATCGTTTCAGATAGCAATTGGGGGTTTTCCCATCTTGGTTCTTGATGCTTTTCTTCTTCACTGAATTTATTAAAAGAAAACTGTGGTTAAAATTAAGACTGGGGGGGCGGGAGGTAGACTCTAAGGAACTTTATTCTTCCATTGTACCAAGCTGGAAATAAATATACCACACACATCATTCTCACAATGTATAATCATGAGGTAGATTTCATTTAATTTGGAGCCACAAGCAGATTTTGGCTGAAACTACTCCTATGGGCTTGTGCTCAAATATATGACAGGGTTTGGTAAATTTTGCAACAACTAAAAAATTCTATTAAGACATGAAATGTCCACTTAGTGGTATGTTTAGACAATTTTACATTTCGAGTAAGGATTTAAGCAAGCCCTTCTCCTGCCAAGCTTTAGTTGGCAAGGTGGATTAACCTAATTTCTTCAGTTTGGTAAGCCAGTTCTGCTCTGTTCAGAAGCATCATTTTGTTGAACAGAACCTCAGATTCTGCCTCCCCCAAACTGCAAATCTTGCCCTGATCCCAGGATTGCTATGTGAACAACTGTTCTCTTATAACTCACCTCATCATCTCACCACCTTTACCATTTCCATTTCTTCCTTTCCCTTGGGCTGTTTAGCGGAAATGGACGCACGTTGAAATTTAACAGCAAACTTGCACTGATCATGTGCAAATCCAGTGATAAATGAGAGATAAACCATTCATTTTAATGACCTGGTTCCTGCAGGCTTTCTAGCCACCTCACTGAGTTCTCATAACCAAAATATTTTGTTTTATTATATACAGGGCCTTACCGTTTCCTTTAAAAAAAATCCAACAAATATGAAGTGTGTCAACTACATGCATTGCAGTGAATAAAACTACTATAGGCAAAAATCACATCAGATGAATAGGTCAAGAAGCATATATAGAAAGAAAAATAGGACAACCGTGAATTCTGATTCTGTTTGTAACTTTATAAACTTGCATCATGTCTCTTGCATTCATCTTTTTTCATTTGTTTTTAAATTCCAATTATGTCTTATTTTCCTCATAGGAAAGGGGGTCCATGTTTGTGATAAAAACAAAAAATTGGATTCTCCATTGCTCCCTGCCTGATACATAACCCCCCTTTTCACCCCCATCGGTCTTACTTACCTCCCTGCAGGCTGCCCCTGGTCAAGCACAAGAGCAGAAGCATAAGGCAGAGATTCAACCTGGCCATTGTGAAACGCTGCAGTCACTTCGCAAAGCCTCTGGGTGCCACACAATGTTGAGTGGGGAAGGAACAGCTGCTTTTATCTCCTCTTCTCACTCCACCCACCTCACACCTTCCTTCCTCATTCAGTACTCAGACGATATTCCTTTTGGTTTTGAACAGAATTCAAAAAAGTGTTATGGGGTATAAACAGCGTACTACAGTCCTACCTACTCAGCTATCTAACATAGATTTGCAACAACAATTTCTGCAAATGCTGCCGGACACAAGCTATCACAGTTCTGTCCACGCAACCTGTGAGGACCATGCTCACAGAAATATGAGTACCACTGCTTCACTGTATTTTGGACTCATTAAATAGATCGAGTTGGTGGTGGTTGTTTTTGCAGAATAGAAACTAAAAAGCATAAATGTTCAAATGATCTGAACTTTTTTTTAAGGCTGCTTTTAATTAATTTCATGGTAACGGCTCAATCGTAATTTGATGGGCTTTTAATTTTGTAAACTGCTTTGAAAATGTGTTGAAAGGTACCTTAGATATCTATGAATAAACACACAATGCTTCACAATGGCTACAGAGCCAGGCTGAGCAAAGGATATATCTCCTCAGAGTACCGCATATAGTTCTGGGCATCCGATTTCCAGGATACTGACAGGTTAGAATAGATTCAGAAAAGGGTGACAAAGCTGGTACATGCCCTGTAAGGACAGGCTGAAGGAACTTGGGAAGTTCAGTCTGAAGAAAAGAAGACTAAGAGGACACATAATAATAGTGATCAGGAGCATAAAGTAATGCCATAAAGAAGATGGTCAGAGACTATTTTCCACTGCCACAGAAACTAGGACCAGAAATAATGGGTGATAAGTTGCAGCTACCTAGATTTAACTATAAGGAAAAACTTCCTGATGGTAAGATCTTTCCATCAGTGGCACAGTCTACCTATGGAGATTATGGGTTCTCCATCTCAGGAGGCTTTTAAGAAGAGGCTGAACAGCCACCTCTTGAGGATGGTTTAATTGGTTTTTCTCTAGATGATGAGAAAAGTAGATGAGATTATCCTTGTGGTCCTTTCCCTCCACTCCACAATTCTGTGAGACTATGAAAATGGCACTTCTCGGTTTCATATACAGAAGTCATCTGAGCTGGCATTTGGCTATTCGTTACTGCTGACAGCATCTTCCATTGTGCAAAGGCAGCAGGCGAGCGTAGCAGAAACAGGGAAGACTGCATGGAACAGATGTCCTTTAAGGGAGGGGAATGGCTAGGTTGGTGGGAGGAATAGTTCAGGAGCAATAATAAGGGGAAACTAATCTCTCCTCTCCTGCAATGCACCTTCATGCTTGGAATGCTGCATCTGCGGAAGGCACAGACCCTCTGTTGCTTTCAGAAAGGGAATATGGGGTAAACTCTACCTGTTCTTTCTTCTTCAAAACAGCTCTGTAAAGTCATTTGCAAAATCGGCCCTCCTCATCCAAGATAAATACTTGGGTTGGTTTCCCTCCCTGAAATTATTACATATCCGCCTGGATGTTTCATAAACTTTTGCATCCAGCCAGCTGTGTAATGTTCCCCCCGAGCCCCCCTTTTTTCTTCCTCCTCACTTCTCCCTGCTAGCCGTGTTTAAACTGTCTGGGATGGACACAGTCTCGGCTGTTGAACATTAGGTTTCCTGCCAGGTCTTGTTCCCCAAAGATGCCTCCAGCTCTCGTGCTGAAAGTTCAGGAGGTGCAGCCTTTGCAAAAATGTTTAATGTGGACTAAACTACTTAGCCGCATATTAGCTGATGATCTTTTCTGAGTGTCATTTCCACTTGGTTGCATTATGAGTCATGTTCTTATTAAACAGTTGTTAACGATCTGGAAACTTCTATCTGCAACATAGGAATAATACTGGCCAACTATACAAGTTGGTTGCATGTACCACTGGCATGTATATGAAAGGTATGGGTACCCTTGGGATAGGTTATATCAGTGGTCTTCAGGTTTTAAGATTCAGCCAGAGGCACCTGGAATTGGCTCTCTTCCTGTTTTTCTCCTTTTGGATCTTTCTGGTGTTTGCTAACGCTCAGTTCCTGCCACAGTGTGTACCCACCCACCCCCCATAAGTATGACCTCCCTATTGATTTTGGGGCCAACACATACATAGCCTTTTCCTGCTTTCCTCACTCTTGGAAAACACATCTACATTCTTGGTCCATGACCTGTTCTATCTTCAGGGCAACCACAGGGGATTTGATCCAAAAGGTCTTGATGTATGGAAGGAGGAACAATTGCCACAAGAATGGGGTGCTTTACAGCAAACACAGATGGCAAATTGAGGCTGGAAGGTCAGTTGGCTGGGTGCATAAACATATCCACTTCTTCTCTTCTTGCAGTGTTTAAGTACCAGAGATCACTGTCTGGGAATGCTTCATAGACAGAGATCTGGGGGGAGGGGGGAGGAAGGGAAGGGAAGGGAAGGGAAGGGAAGGGAAGGGAAGGGAAGGGAAGGGGAGACAGAGAGAAAGGGAGGGAGGAGAAATCCTTCCCATACTTCTTCTCTATTCAACAAGATTGTGTTGTAAAAAAACTGAACCAGCTTTTTACTAGGAAGACACAATTGGGTTAATAAGTAGATAGATTTTACAAGGCAGCAACATCTTAGCCTTGTAGCCTCCAGATGTATTGAGTTACACGTCCTATCATCTTGTCTGCCCTCTAGGAAGATCAGATCAAGAAATCAACTCCGCAGGAAGGCTAAAACTACTTTTATTGAGATTGGCTATCCTGCGAGTCTGACTGTGCTGTATCTCTTGCCCTTTCTTATACTCTTGTGAATTAGAGAGGTGTCTGTCTGAACCACTTATGAACACTATCTGCCTGTTGTGGACTTAAGATACTGTATGTTTTTCCCCTTGATGCTTTGGTAACGGAGCTTGCATATCTCCGTCAAGGTCACCTTCCTTACTATCTACACAATTCTACCTATACTGAGTTAGGAAGATGGGAATTGTAGTCCATGACATCTAGAAGCCACCAGGTAGACAAGGCGGTTTTAGGCTGTAACAGCCCTCCCAGAAGCTAAGGCCTGCAAGCAAAGTCGGTGGATTCATTCATATACAGTATAGTATCTCCACTGTAAATGTAGCAAAAGACAAGACAACCTTAGTGGAAGGAAGGCAGTTCCACAGCAGGCCATGCGCTCTGCATGCAAAAATTATGCTGCCGGTGTTGGATTTGGGACAAGGTCCAGGACCCCACTACACAGCACAATCTTCAGAAAAGTCTAAGGGGCAATGTGGGTTAACATAATTTGCAATTAAAGAAGTCATACAATTGAACATCTTGGGACTGTTTGGGGTGAACCCAGAGCATATTTAAGTCCAGTTTCTAAAACGACACCCTTGGCTAAATGTGTCAGTTTCAATCCTCACAATTTCAAGTAGAGCAAAGAAGAATATTGATACTCCGTTCTCCTGAAATCCTGGGGAACTGCTATCATTCCACTAGAGGAGATACTGAGCTAGATGACTCAGTAAGTGGGGTTTGTTATAAAGCATGCAGGTATTTTCCCTGGGAATAATGGGACTTCTAGTCCAACACATTAGGAGGATGCATTAGATTGTGCAGTAGATTAGGGTACAACCCAAGACAATTGGTACTGTAAAGTCTGAATTAAGGGGCATTCACAGATGTTAAAGGTACTAATTTGGAATGAGGTATCAGAGTCAAAAAGTTATCCAGCCCATGTCTGACAGAGAAATGTTACAGACCTCAGTCCAGATATGGAGAAAACCTTGTACTTATTGCTAGAGACACTTTGGCATTCTCATGATCCTGCCTGCAATAGTGGTGGCCCAACGTGATCAACCAAAAATTTCCAACTTCTTTGCAACCACTTGGAAATATTTTCCCCCTCATGTGTCTTTATATCAGGAGGAATGCATAGAAGGAGATGTCTCTTGACCTTTGGCTGGGATTGGAGAGGGAAACCTCTATCATGTCCTTTGCATCCCAGCAAACGTCTAAAACTGAGTTTAAAAAATCACATTTGGTGTGATCCTTGTGGTGGAAAAAAGGGCAGGGGTTATCTTCTGTTGGGAACAGTTTGCAAATTGTTGTAGTATGACAGGACTTTATATCTTGTTTTGTTTGTTTGATTTATTGATCATGTGTGATCAAGTCAGTGTCAATTCTTAGCAACTACATAGATAGATTTTCTCCATGACAACTTATTCCTAACCTGGTCCTTCAGGTCTTCCAATGGTGCACTCATCACTGCTATAACTGAGTCCATGCTCTTTGCTGCTGGTTGTCCTCTTCTTCTCTCTCCTTCCACCTTTCCCAGCAATACAGCCCTCTCCAGACTTAAGTCTGACATTAGTGGTATTTTAAAGTTTTTAATAAATGGAATAAGATACATATGTGGTCATTGAAGACATGCACTTGAGAGACTTCAAGTTAACTTTCTTGCACCTATAGCAAGGTGAGTCTCAGCAAATATATTAGGAGAGATTTCCAAGTTAAATCCTAGAGCGTATTTCCAGACAAAGTAGGTCATCCCGGGTTAAAGAAACTGCCTCAATATAAGATAGCAACACTATAATTTACCACAATGATTGCAGAGTGAGATAACTACAAGTAACTTTCTCTGGGTCAAAGCTGGATAAAAGCTAGTTATCCCATACAGTAAGCTCCCATTATTCAGGAATTCCTTCCTTCTAATAGATTTACATGATTGATTATATAATCTTAAAAACAAACATGAAACAGAAATTATAACACAGGATAATTTAATTTTAATTAAAGAACCTCCTAATGTTATAGTAGAACAAGAGATTTTGGATACTGCACAAAGGAGTATTGCATAATTTTGGTAGTTAATAATGGGGATTGTCAGTTGACTTAGACACTTTTTAATGGTCCAACTAAAGACAAGCATATACACACACACAAAGACACACACACACACACAAACGTATGTATGTATGTATAAAATAAATAAAAAAATCTTTTTGGTTTACAGGTAGACCAAATAAC